TGCAGTATAACTTCTAAGGCTTAATACCCCAAATCAAAAAAGAAGTAAAAGCACCAGGCTGAAAAATCACTGAAAGAGAAAGTTTGTATTTACACTGAATCTTTTATCCAAACAAATTTCACTGCTCTATTATTTACAGTTGGGCATAAGTAAAAGGGTTGTAAACACATAAAACAGGAAAGGGAATGTAGAAAGGGAAGAGATCCTTGTTAACCAGAGATGATTACTAATAATACCATGAGACTACCCTGAAGTTATCAAAAGTAACTTGGTCAGAAGCTAGCCGTTAATGACAACAATTTTTTTTTTTTTTTTTTTTGACAGGCAGAGTGGACAGTGAGAGAGAAAGAGAGAAAGGTCTTCCTTTTGCCGTTGGTTCACCCTCCAATGGCCGCTGCGGCCGGCGCACCGCGCTGATCCGATGGCAGGAGCCAGGTACTTCTCCTGGGCCATCCTCCACTGCACTCCCTGGCCACAGCAGAGAGCTGGCCTGGAAGAGGGGCAACCGGGACAGAATCCGGCACCCCGACCGGGACTAGAACCCGGAGTGCCGGCACCGCAAGGCGGAGGATTAGCCTAGTGAGCCGCGGTGCCGGTTAATGACAACAATTTTTTAAAAACATTTTTAGGGGCTGACGCTGTGGCACAGCAGTGTTAGCTACCGTCTGCAGCGCCAGCATCGAATATGGCCACTGGTTCGAGTCCTGGCTGCTCCACTTCCTATCCTGTTAATGAGCCTGGGAAAACAGCAGAGGATGGCCCAAGTCCTTGGACCCCTGCACCCACATAAGAAACTCAGATGAAATTCCTGGTTTTAGTCTGGTCCAGCCCTAGCTGTTGCAGCCAGCAGATGAAATACTTCTTTCTTGGGGCCGGCGCCGTGGCTCACTTGGTTAATCCTCCGCCTGCGGCGCCAGCATCCCATATGGGTGCCAGGTTCTAGTCCCAGCTGCGCCTCTTCCAGTCCAGCTCTCTGCTGTGGCCCAGGAGGGCAATGGAGTGAACCAATGGAAGGAAGACTTTTCTCTAACTCTACCTGTCAAAAAAAATTCTTCTTTCTCTCTGGCTCTCTCTTCCTCTCTATAACTCCACCTTTCAAATAAATAAAAAAGTCTTTGGGAAAAAAAAAACTTTTTTTTTGGACAGGCAGAGTTAGAGAGAGAGAGACAGAGAGAAAGGTCTTCCTTTTCTGTTGGTTCACCCCCCAAATGACTGCTACTGCTGATGTGCTGCACCGATCCGAAGCCAGGAGCCAGGTGTTTCCTCCTGGTCTCCCATGCGGGTGCAGGGCCCAAGCACCTGGGCCATCCTCCACTGCCTTCCCGGGCCACAGCAGAGAGCTGGACTGGAAGAGGGGCAACCGGGACAGAATCCGGTGCCCTGACCGGTGTGCTGGCGCCGCAGGCGGAGGATTAGCCAAGTGAGCCGAGGTGCCGGCCAAGAAAAACACTTTTAAATGAAAGAGGGAGTTTAACGACAAAACACACCCAAAACTTTAAAACAAAAATTCTTCAAGGGGCCAGCACTGTGGCATAGCGGGTAAAGCCACCGCCTGCACAGTCGGCATCCCATAGGAGCAGAGTCCTGGCTGCTCCACTTCAAATCCAGCTCTGTGCTGTGGTCTGGGAAAGTAGTAGAAGATGGCCCAGGTCCTTGGGCCCCTGCACCCACATGGAGAAGCTCCTGGCTCCTGGCTCCGGATCAGTGCAGCTCTGGTCATCGCGGCCAACTGGAGAGTGAACCAGCAGATGGAGGACCTCTCTTTCTCTGCCTCTCCTCCTCTCTCTGCGTTATTCTTTCAAATAAATAAATAAATCTTTAAAAAACATCCCTGAGCAATTTCATCCCTGTACTTAGGGGAAGGATCAGCACAACATAAACAAACCCTGTGTCCTCCCTGGTAGCAGTTGCAGGTCTCAAAGCGTAATCAGTGAATCTTCAGAGGCACAAGTCACAGTCAAATATAAATTACCAGACAACCAACAACAATGCATGCATTGGATAGCAAATTCAAGTCTTCCCTCAAATCCTCACAGTATCTGACAAACTACAAAGAAATCATTCTATAGAAGTGCCAGCTTCTTGGTTTTCTGAAGAACAGTGTGGCGGAGCGAGCAAGACCCATAAAAATCTCGGAGGCCTCGGACCTAGTGAAACCACACCCCGGGAACTTTGGCTACGGAAATCACTACATTTAAACAAGGAGCTATGAGCATAAAGATGTCCACTGTACCACTATCTCCAACAGCAAAAGGGTACAAACCCAAAACCCAATCATAGGAGAATGAGTACATGGAAATCTTTTTTTTTTTTAAGATTTTATTTATTTAGAGAGTTACAGACAGTGAGAGGGAGAGACAGAGAGAAAGGTCTTCTGTCCTTAGCTCACTCTCCAAATGGCCACAACGGCCAGAGCTGCGCCGATCCAAAGCCTACTGCGCAGTGGCGCTGGCCCCATAAGTGGAAATTTTAATTTACAATGCAATGTTAAGGGGCTGGTGCTGTGGCCTAGTGGGTTAAGCCACTGCCTGCAGTGCCAGCATCCCATATGGGCACCGATTTGAGACCCGGCTGCTCCATTTACAATCCAGCTCTCTGCTGTGGCCTGCGAAAGCAGTAGAGGACAGCCCGATTCCTTGGGCTCCTGCACCCACGTGGGAAACCTGGAGGAAGCTCCTGGCTCCTGATCAGCGCAGCACCAGCCATTGCGACCAATTGGGGAGTGAACCAGTGGATGGAAGATTTCTCTCTCTCTCTGCCTCTCCTTCTCTCTGTGTGTAGCTCTTTCAGATAAATAAGTAAATCTTTAAAAAAAAAAGTTATGCTCAAATTTTAATATTGTGGTTGCACTGTTCTTTCCTAAAAGAGCCACTCTGAAATTCTATGTGGCATATACGGTGTTGTGGCACAGCCATAAAGCCGTTGCCTGTGACGTCAGCGTCTCAGCGGCTCCACTTCCCATCCAGCTCTCTAACACACCTGGGAAAAGCGGTGGAGGATGGCTCAAGGGTTCGGCCTCCTGCCATCCGCAGGCGAGACACCAGTGAAGCTCCGGGCCCTGGCCTGGCCCAGCCCTGGCCATTGCAGACATCTGGGTGAACCAGCAGATGGAAGCTCTCTCTCCTCTCTCCCTCCCTCCTTCCTCATAACTCTTTCAGATAAACAAATATTTTTATTAAAAAAAGGAATGACAAAGAATAAATCACTCTTGTCAAACCCAGTGCTGCCCTTTCTTCACTCATGCTCCCAGAAACTTACTCTAATTGCTGATATACACAAACACGGGGCAACTCTAGAAGCTGTTGCTGATATACAAAGAACTCAATAAAGTGAGCAAAACTGAAAGCAATCTGACAAGTCCATTACTTAAGACCTGAAAAACGAATCCCATACATTAAGCAAAACTTGGCCTATTTATGAAAAATGAAGACTACAATGCATACCTCCAGTTAAAAGAACTCAAAGCAAGGAAAACGCTACATTAACCTTAAATTTCTGCGATGCCTCAAGGAATAGTTTTGTAACTGGAACATCCCAATCTCAGACCAAACAACTTGGGAAAAGATTCTTTGTTACAGTCTAATACTTAAGCCTAGTACAGCCAATGCAACTTAAAAGCTTTAGCTTTGCTAACTGTTTGCACAAGTTAAATATATCTGCCAATTCTTCCTCACTCCTAAGAGAAGCTAGAACAAAACTTGTATTTGAAATGTTTTCATTTTCCTGTAGATGCGCTGAGAAAGGGAAGTTTAGTTCCAGAACCCCCGGTGGACTTGCACTGTGCGAGCCCTCAGCTCACGGAGACCACTCTAAGCGTGTCTGGAGGGCCGCAGCGGGCGAACAGGAGTGCGAGGGGGTCCGGTCAACACGGAAGGCGGAATCCCTTAAACACCGGCTGACCCATCTTAACGGCTAACTTGTGCTCTAAGTGAGCATTCCTTGGAAACGGGCTGAAGATCCCCTTATCCCACCGGCCCTCCGCGGCAGGGCCCGCACCGTGCACTCAGGGACAACCTGCGTGCCCTTGGCGGACTCCGGCCACGATGGAATGGAGTCGGACACCCGCCTTTCCCTGACACTAAGCATCTTCGTGGTTCGCAAAATACCAACTGACAACCACCCGCCCTAGGGCCTCCCGCACGCACACACCCTCCAGAGTCCAACTCAGCCCGGAGCACAGCGAGCCCCCCGCCTCCAGCACACCCGCGGGGACGGGGCGCAAGCACCCTCACCTCCGCGCCCTGCGGCAACCCCTCGCCCCGGGAAACCTCGGAGAGCGGGGTGGGGGTGGGGCAGCGCGCCGCGGGCCCGCTCCCGGCCGCCGCCCCCTCCCCACCCTCCGCGGCCCCGGCACAGCAATGCGGCTCGGCCGCCGCCGCCGCGCCGGAGAGGCCTCGCGGGGGAAGCAGAGCCGGGCACTCCCACCCAGGCCCGGGCGGGGGAGGGCGGGCCGCTGCGGGAGACCCCGAGCACGCGGCGGCCGCGGAGACCGGACGCGAGCAGGGGTGATGCTGCCCTCACTGCCCCCCGCCTCCCTCCGCAGTCCGCGACCCCCCAACCTGCTGACCCCTCCAACACGAACACTCAAATACCCGGGGGTGAGGATGCTGCCCAAGCATATCCTCCCGTTTGGGGCGAAGGAGGCTTGAAAGGGGCGGGACGGGGGCTGACAGCTGCCAAGACCGGAGAACCCCTCCCCAGCATTTCCCTGGGAAGGGGAGGCTGCCCGGTCCCTCCATCTTGACCGCTGGCGGAGGGGGTGGCGATGTTGCAGGAGGCTGGACGCGGCCCGACGATCCCACGGGAATCCCGCGGCGCCCCCCCACCCCGCTGCGGACAGAGCGCCCCCCCCCACTGCGGGCCCCCAGCCCATCGCGTCCCCCCCACCACAAGCCGGCCGGTCACGGGGCGGGGACGGCGGTGCGGGCCGCGGGGGAGGGGACGCGAGGCCGCGGCTCCCGCAGGCCCGGAGCCCTGGGGGCTGGGGCGCCGACACCCACCTGCCCAGGCCGGGCCGCCCGCCTCCTGCGCTCGCCGCAGCCGCCGAGGACGAGGAGGGAGCCGCGGCCGAGGGCGACGAGCCTGAGGACGAGGACGGCGGCGGCGGCGGCGGCGGCGCGGCAGCGGCCGGCGACGTGAGGAGGCCGCCGCCGCCGCCGCCAGGCTTACGGGCACTGGCGGCCGCGGGCGGCTGCGGCTGCGGCTGCGGCTGGGGCTGCTGCTGGGGCTTCAGCGACATGGTGAGGGGCCCATACACCGGTTCGCACGCCGGGCGGGGACAGCCGGGAGCCGGGCGCGCCGAGGAGACGCCGGAGCGCGGCGGGGACGCGCGGACGCCGAGCGGGGAGGCGCGGGCTGGCGCGGCCGGGGGGGCGTCCGCGCTGGCGAGGGGGAGGAGGAGGACGACGAAGGGGCGGGGAGGCCCGCCGAGACCGAGGAGCCGACTGGAGCCGGGCCGGGACGCGCCGCCGCCGTTGCCGTTGCTACCAAAACAGTCTGAGCCGGAGGGAGGCGAGCGCAGCCCGGAGGGAGGGGGGCCTGGGCCGGGCGGGGGAGGGGCGGCGGAGGGATACGGGCCGCGGGCCGCGCTGCCGTTTCCCCGTTTTCTTCTCCGCGCCTGCCGCGGGAGCGAGCGCCTGCCGGGCCACCTGGCTGCGGCGAGCCGGCGCGGCCCCGGAGCGGCCGCCGCGGGGCTCGGAGGAGCTGCGGCCGCCGGGCGCATCGCGAGGGGCTGGGGGCCTGGCGCGCCGAGGCTGCGGGTGGCTGTGCCCGGTGGGCGCGGAGGTGCGGGGCCGGGGGGGACTCTTTGCCGGAAGTCGGAAGGGTTCGGGCGGAAGCAGAACGTGAGGCGGCCCCGGGGCCGGGAGGGACACGTGAGGCCCGGGCGCCGCGCTGGGCCGCGTCCGCGGGGGTCGGGTGAGGACCAGGCGGCGGGCCCTGCGCGCGGGTCCGCCCTCCTCGAGGCGGGTGTGTCCTTCGCAGAGGGCGTGTCGGGCTTGGCTGCGGGGCCGGCCTGGGCTGGAGGACGCGGAGGGAGTGTCCCCACCCGGCGTCTTCGCGGCCCTGGCAGGACCTGGGTCGCCCCCACCTGATGCAACCCAGAAAATGGCCTGCGGGTGCCTTCGGGGCGGGGGCTCAGCCCGGAGCCCCCAGGGCGCTGCGGCCGCCGCAGCGCGCGCTCTGTGCGCCGGGAGCCCCGCACGCCGCCGGCCTGCGGGGCCTCCGGCGTTTGGTCACCTTTCCCTGACATGTGCTCGCAGCAACACAGTGACCAGAAACCTCTGGGCATTTGACCTTCATGTGAACTCTGCTACCCTCGCTTGAACTTCCCCCTCATTCCGGAGACGCCAGGGGAATGCGCGTGAATGGCAGGGCCCCGGGCGGTGGGCCCCGGGCGCTGGAGGCGCGGACTTCAGACCTTGACCCCTGCCCAAGTTGTGCTTTAACTCGGAGCCCGCCCGCACGGCGGTGCCGTTTTTTTGCAAATGTGTTGCAACTAGACGGGAAGCAAGTAGATAATTTTTTTTTTTTTTTTTGGAACCATGAATCCACCTTTTTGGAAAGTGAAATTACTTCAGGAAATGAGAAGGGAGAAGGGGACACCGAAATTTCCCCCTCCATCTGGAGTTGTTCAGATAAAGACCTGGAAAAACTTGGGAGGCTAGAAATCCAGGGGTCCCCCGTAGTGCAAACGTAAAATAACCTCCTGGGGACTTGGGGCCAACCTCACTCCTGCAGACACTTGAAGTAGATTTTCCTGAAGTAGAAAATCAGCTTTATTTCCCTTCTGAGGCTAACAAACGATGGATGTAGTCTTTTAAACTGACAGTTGCACAACCCTTTAAAAATTAACCCGGAGGAAATTAGAACTTTGAAAAAAAAAAAACTTTTTTTTTAAGTTTCATTAAAGGACAATCACCATTTTCTGCGTTACTGACCTGACAGTCATATCTAAACCATGGGCCCAGAATTCAGTGTTAGGGCGAGTTTCAGGCAGGTGGGAAGACAGAGGGAACTGGAACAGGGAAGCCTGGAGATGACCAACCTTAGCTTTGGTTTTTTTGTTTGTTTGTTTTTTGTTTTTGTTTTTTGACAGGCAAAGTGGACAGAGAGACAGAGAGAAAGGTCTTCCCTTTGCCGTTGGTTCACCCTCCAATGGCTGCCGCGGCCAGCGCACTGCACTGATCTGAAGCCAGGAGCCAGGTGCTTCTCCTGGTCTCCCATGGGGTGCAGGGCCCAAGCACTTGGGCCATTCTCCACTGCACTCCCTGGCCACAGCAGAGAGCTGGCCTGGAAGAGGGGCAGCCGGAACAGGATCCGGTGCCCCGACCGGGACTAGAACCCGGTGTAGCTTTGTTTTATTTACGCCGAGAAGCCTCATTTTTAACCCAATATAGTCAGAAAAAGACAGTTTTATTGAGGGGTAACCTGCACATTATGAAATGCATTCTTTCTGTGCACAATTCAGAGTCCAGGCTGCTCAGCCTTCACCCCCAAGAAGTCCTTGGAGCCCATTTGCAGCGGCTGGTTCCACCCTGAGCCCAGGCAGCCGCTGGTCTGGGGGTCTGTCTGCGGCTGGGCGTTTCGTGTAAGTGGAATCAGAACGGCGGCCCTCCTGCCACTCACCCGTGGCGATTCTGAGCCTCACCCATTGTAGCAAGGATCTGGCAGCCTTCTGTTATCTGCAGCTACCTTGAGATTGCCTTGGGCCTTCTGGCCAAGGTGAGGGACGCTGCTGTGAGCGCCCGTGAACCCAGATGCTGTCCCTTCTCCTGGGTAGGCGCCAGCTGGTGGGACTGTCTGGCGGCACCGTCAGACCCCGCCTTTCCAGTTACTGTGCCGTTTCACACTCTTCCCCGGAATGTTGAGTGTTTATCATGAGAGGCAACGTCTGCTTTTTATTTCGATGGAAAGGAGATCCTCTGCTCTCAGTCTGTTTTGGATGCTTCCCGCCCCCCCCCCTTTTTTTCTCTTTAAATTAGTGTATTTGAAAGAGTCACAGAGGAGAGGCAAGAGAGGTCTTGCATCTGCTAGTGCACTTCCCAGTTGGCCTCAACAGCTGGGGCTGAGCCAGGCCAAAGCCAGAGCTGCTTCTGAGTCTCCCAAGCAGTTTGTCCCTCCAGGTAGTTTGGCCATCCTCGGCTGCTTTCCCAGGCACATTAGCAGGGAGCTGGATCAGAAGAGGAGCAGCCAGGACTAGAACCTGTGCCCATGGGGGATGCTGACGCCGCAGTGGAGGCTTAGCCGGCTATGCCACAGCGCCAGTCCCTTCTCTCCTTGTTTCTGTGTGGAGGGAACATCACCACCCAAAACCAAGGAAGTTTTTATTGCCAATCCTTCACGCAAGTTATAGACCTTTGAAACATGGTTGTTAACCCGCCACCGTGCCATCAGAGGACTTTATAGTAAAACATCAGGGTATGATGCCTCAAACTGGCAGGCTCCCAGGGACCTCCTGGTGTGCAGACCCTGTGGAATCTCCACTTCAATGCAAGCCTCACCTGGTGACTCCCTTAACCACAAGCTAGGAAGAATTACGGCTGTCTCCTTCCAAGGTTGGGGCCTGCCTCTGTCTTGGACTGCCCTCACGCACATCTGGTTGGGGGCAGCCAGCTGCCAGGTTGTGAGCTGTGAGCTGCTCTGTGGACATTCCCTTTGGCAAGGGTCTGATGTCTCCAGCCAGCAGGGAGCGAGGTCCTGACAGGTGCCAGCCGCCAGCAGTGAGCGGAAGTGCATCAGCCCCAGTTCAGCCTCTGTGAGAGGGCAGTCCTGGCTTCAGGCTCAAGCAGCTTGGCTCGAGACCTAAGCGAGAAGCCGCATCCTGATCTTTACTTAGTGTTGCTCTAAGCAACTAAGTGTGCAGGTTATTGACTATATAGCAGTAGTGCATGTTCTGTGATTTCCTTGGGCATTCAGAATTCGCTGAAGGCAGAGGCCAAGCTCAGCAACTAACCTGGTACAGAAGTCATAATTGTGAATGCTTCCCCCTCCCCCGGCGATTAGGTACAGAAGTCCTCATTGTGCATCTGCCTGCACCACCACCACCCCCTCCCCCCCCCACCGTGATTATCAGGCAGCCATCCAAGCATGAACATCCAGGGGCCTTAAAGAGCTGTCGGCAAAGACTCCTGACCCGGGGCCGGGGTGACCTCGCTGTGAACAAGACGCTGGGCCCCGCATCGGGGTGTCTGGTCTGTTACCTGGCTCTGGCTCCTCACTCCAGCTTCCTGCTAATGCAGACCATGGGCAACAGTGATGGCTCAAACAGGCGGGTTCCTGCTGCCCCTGAGGGGGGGGGGTGGCCTGGATTGCCCTCCCAGTTCAGTCAGTGTTACCCTTCCCCCGACCAAGTAAACTATAAAGAAAAAAAAAAAAAAAAAAAAAAAAGAATATTGTCCTGAAAGAGTTGGTATTGAAAAGTATTGCTAGGACTTGAACTGTGGTGTAGCGGGTAAAGCCACCGCCTGCAGTGCCAGGATCCCATATGGGCACCAGTTTGAGTCCCAGCTGCTCCTCTTCCAATCCAGCTCTCTGCTGTGGCCTGGGAAAGCAATGGAAGATGGCCCAAGTCCTTTGGGCCCCTGCACCCACGTGGGAGACCCAGAGGAAGCTCCTGGCTCCTGCTTCACATGGGCCCAGCTCTGGCCATTGCAGCCATTTGGGGGGTGAACCAGCAGATGGAAGATTCTCTCTCTCTCTCTCTCTCTCTGCCTCTCTCTAATTCTGCCTTTTTTTTTTTTTAAGAACTTGTTTGTTTATTTGAAAGAGTTACACAAAGAGAGAAGGGGAGGGAGAGAGAGACAGATCTTCCATCTGCTGGTTCATTCCTCAAATGGCCCCAACAGCTGGAGCTGCGCCCATCCAAAGTCAGGAGCCTCTTCCGGTCTCCCACATGGGTGCAGGGGCCCAAGGACTTGGACCAGAGTGGACAGTGAGAGACAGAGACAGAGACAGAGACAGAGAGAAAGAAAGGTCTTCCTTTTGCCGTTGGTTCACCCTCCTGCAGCCAGGTGATCCGATGGCAGGAGCCAGGTGCTTCTCCTGGTCTCCCATGGGGTGCAGGGCCCAAGCACTTGGGCCATCCTCCACTGCACTCCCGGGCCACAGCAGAGAGCTGGCCTGGAAGAGGGGCAACCAGGACAGGATCCGGCGCCCCGACCGGGACTAGAACCCGGTGTTCCAGCGCCGCAAGGCAGAGGATTAGCCTAGTGAGCTGTGGCGCCGACTTGGACCATCTTCTACGGCTTTCCCAGGCCGTAAGCAGAGAGCTGGCTCGGAAGTAGAAGAGCTGGGACTTGAACCGGCGCCCATATGGGATGCTGGCACTCCAGGAGACAGTTTCATCCACGACATCACAGCACTGGCCCCAACTCTG